CGGCGGTGGCTGCGTCCATCACGCACTGCCCTCTTCCCTTGGGGCCGGCGGTGGCTGCGTCCATCACGCACTGCTCTCTTCCCTTGGGGCCGGCGGTGGCTGTGTCCCTCGCATGGAGCCGGCTTCCTTCTTTCTCCCTTGTCTCCTTGCATCCTGGAGCCCTCAGTCTACGCATTCAAGCTTCAAGACGGTCTTCCTTGTGTGACTGTTTCATAAGACGTGATCTTGTCAATGTGAGATGAGAAAGCTAGAAGCTTTGCGTGGCTGTCATACTGCCTTCTGATAAAAATTCACGCTGCGGAATCCCTTTGGCAAGTCTGCCTCTGCCACCCCTTCATCTGTTTTCTGGGTGAGACCCTGGGGACGTGCTGGGCCGTCCCTGCTGCAGAGGGTTTGGAGGTGACAGCTCATGTGGATGGTGAGTCAGCTGCTGACCTCAGAACAACCTGGGAAGAAAAGGGCGCTGCACAGGCCCAAGGCTTAGGGCAAAACCTGCTTTTTCATTAGGGAAAAGAGTGGACACTGTGAGTTGCCAGCTGTGTGTCAGCACCGCTGTGGCATGCTGCTTGAGTTAGAATGAGGGGCTCCACATAACGAGAGGGAGTGAGGCTTTCTCTATGCCCTCTGCTGGGCCGTGTGCCCACACTGTTCACGAAGGAGCTCTTGACCCAGCTTTGCTGTGAAGAGGGAGCCCGGAACCCTGGGGCCTCAGTGGGGCTGGCAGAGCTGGGTGGGGCCAGCACTTTGAGGTTGGAGATCTTTTCCGCTTTGTGTACCAGAGGATCTCTGTTCAAAACTGCCAAACACAAAAGCCGCTATGGACAGCATGCTGGTGAATGCGTGTGGCCATGTCCCAGAGGTGTTATTTACAGAAAGAGCTGGGCACCGGGTCTGGAAAGCCTGGCGAACCCTAGGCTTACCTGCTGGCTTTGGGGAACAGAAGGTCCTCAAACCTGTGTGCACTGGCGGGGGCTGAGGACTTTAATGCTGCTGAAATGAGCTGGCGTGGCGGGCAGCACCTGGCTCCTGCCTGAATGGGGTGCTGCTAAAATCGAATGTGAGTCTGTGTTCTGCATACTGTTTTTGTTTATCTGAACAAAATTGTTCATTTGCAGACTATTTGTTGTGCTGATTCTTGGGTTATATGACTTGCAGAGGCCCCACTTCAGTAAAGGCCAGCAGCGTCCACACCAGTGGGTCTCATGGATCCGGCTGCAGGCTGCTGGCCCTGTGCCTCTTCTTCATTCCCAATTGTGTCAGAAGTCCCCACTGGTGGCCCTGACCTGTGGCCAGGCTTCCTGTGCAGCTTCCATGAGCCCAGGGGCTGGGGCGGCCATGTAAACCTGCACCAAGGACCCGGGTCTCGTTGGCTCCCCCATTGGGAGTGCTGACGTAAGGTTTCCCTGCACTGACCAGGAGGTGGTTTCCCCCAGCCCTGCTCTGGGAGCAAGTGTCGTCAGTGTCTAATGCTTTGTGTTTGGACCCTGTTCCAGTCAGCTGTTGGCCACGAATATCAGTCGAAACTTTCCAAGCATTGCTCACAGGTGGACTCGGTCCGTGGCTTCGGAGGCAAGTTTGGTGTCCAGATGGACAGAGTTGACCAGGTGAGTGACGTGGTGCTGGGACTAGGACCGGCTGGGGCAAGGGGGGCGTTCCCCGTGGGTGTCAGCCCCACTGGGCCATTGGTAGTAGCAGGCAGGTGGCCTCCAGCTCTGGGGAACTGCAGAGAGGGGCAGCTCCCTCCTGGGATGCTCTGAGAGCCTGGGCCCACCGGGGAGGAGGCGGGACATGGCGGGCTTGCTGTAGCAGTCCCTGCAGCCATTCTTTACTGCATGCCCTGGTATTGGATGGCGCTGTCTGTCCAGATGTGCCAGCAGGGACCAGTTCCACCCATGCTTCTTACGTGTGTGTGTCTGACAAAGTGACATCAGAGCCTATACTGGGGGGCAGGATGCACTCCTTGGGTCCAGGACTCAGGCTTTGTGTCTGGGTATTGCAGTCATCCTGGGCCTGAGCCTCTTCTCTGATTCTCTTCGGCTCGGGGCTTGTTGGCTCCTTTGTTTCGTAGTGGAGCGATAAGGAGCCGGGAGGGAGCCGATGCCAGTGGCAGATTGAGGCCTTGTGACATATTAGCCACGATTCCGAATTGATGTGTCTGTGAAATGAGGGGGAGGATCACATCTGTCTCACAGGCATGTGCTCAGATGCCCATCTCAGTGTCCGGCTGGCAGGGGTGCACCCCAGTGGTGCACCCTGCTATTCTTGTTATTAATATTAACGTTCTCAGCATGGCTTATTTAAAAAGCAAGCTTTTGTGAAGCCCTTGGAATGAATCAGCTGTGCACAGCCTGCCGCCATGTACCGGGGAGGGCAGGTCCCCATGGGTCCAGCTTGGCCGCCGTGTGCCGGGGAGGGCAGGTCCCCGCGGGTCCAGCTTGGCCGCCGTGTGCCGGG